ATCGTGAGCTGACAATTTTTAATAAATATAGTCAGAGGCGATCTAACGTCAGCTGATAGTTTAGAAAAAAGAGAGCTAAAGGCGATTTATTCGTGAACTGGCAGATTTTAATAAATATTGTCAGAGGCGATCTAACGTCAGCTAACAATTTTTAATAAATATATTCAGAGGCGATCTAACGTCAGCTGACCGTTTAGAAAAAAGAGAGCTAAAGACGATTTATTCGTAAACTGGCAGATTTTAAGAAATACGTATTTCTTTTAGTTAGTAATTTACTACACGTGTGGTTTGTTTATGTTTTATCGGATAATTTATAAGATCATTTAACCTTTTTTCTCGCAATTGAAATTCTATCGTATGGCTGTATGATGTACATACGAGACGAAATAGACCTATACAAGGTGTCTAATAGATATAAATTAAATATGATAAAATATTTGATTTGAAAAATGTATGTATAATACTATGTACCTAATTGGAAAAATATGTTATATGCTTTCCCTATTTTTATTCTTATGTAATTAATACAAAATAAATAAATAAGTTAATTAATTATTCAATACATACATATACATATTGAATATAGTTATCTTTATTTTGTATTTTATGTAACTGAAATGATATATACTCTCATTATTTCAGTCATTATCACATAAAATACAAAATAAAGATAACTATTTATTCAATATATGTGTGTATGTATATATATATATATATTAATTAATTGATTAATTAGTTATTTTGTATTTACTACATAAGGATAAAAGTGTGAAAAGTATATGACATTTTTCTTCAGTGATATATATAGTATTATATGTATATTTTTCATTTATTATTTTGTCATATTTAGTTTGTATTTATTTGACACCTTGTATACGCCTATGTTTTCTCGGACATTATGGGTGCATTCGTTTATGCAGCGGTTAGCGCATCCACTGCGTTTATCATCTGCTAGTCACGTTATCTAATTTACCGAACGCACACCTGCGTGAATGGCTGCGTGAATGGATTTAAAAGCATTGGCGAAGTTGCATTACGTTGTGTCTATACAAAATTTTGCGAAAATAATGAAGACGGGATCAAAACATTCTTAAATTGAGAGTTCTCTGATCCTTTTTCTATATCAGCTGTAGACGAAATCATTACATGGTTAGGAACTATTGCAGCAGAACCTGTACCTGAGATAAATTTACGAAAAACAAATCCCAAAACATTACAAAATTTGTTTATAAAAAATTCACAGTTTAGAATCTTATAATGTGTTTAAATTTTCAATCTACATTTAATACGTGTGCATTTTTAGGTTAATTTGATTGTAAATACGAATATCGTAAACTTTAAAAAATTTTTCCATTATATAATACTTATCTTGGATTACTTTTACTTTTGCGGGATCGATTTCGAGGAGTTGTTCTACCCCTTTTTGATTTTTTATTTTAATAAAATCTATTTTCACATTTTAATTAATCAATGTGGATGCAGATAATTAAGCTAGATTCGCAATGGGTGTATTCGTTTACGCAGTACTGCAAGCAGAGCATCCAGAGCAGGACCTCCGAAGTACCTGCGCAGATGAGATACATCCCTGCGTAAACGAACGACAAACTGCGCTGCAGTTATTTTCGCAGGCGGAGTAAACGAACGACATCTGCGGCAGTAACTGCATAAACGAATGCACCCTATATTGCAGCCTTGTGACGAAATTTCAGTCGAGGAAACAAGCGCAAGCATCGTTTGTTTACAAACTTCCGATGACACACGTACACAGACCACACGTCAGTGTAGTGAGTTATCACTACAAACAAATGCATACACACGGACCTACGCGGCGTAGGCTACGCCGATAATGTCGTTTCATTTTTAGTACCATCGAAATGATGGCGCTTTCGCGTCGGAGTTCGATTGCCACTCCAGCATCCCCTTAAGTACCACTTACAACAGACACTTTTACATGACAAAACATTTTTTATTTTTTTTAAACTTTGTAATTATATAGAGCTTATATCAATGATAATATTTTAGCCGTAGGTACAATTAATAAATTAATAGACACTATTAAGTGGGATCACTTAAAATCGACTTGTATTGTTTAATACTTTATTGTACCAAAAATTATTTATTTATATTTTTAAGAGTTAAGATGCTTTTCAGAGGCAGAATCCGCTTTGTTTTGACTCACATTTAATGCAGTTTTATTCATATTTTCGATACCCTTGTCCAAGTCTTGGTTATCTTAATCAAATCTAAGTGTATTAAAAATTACATTACTAAGCATTACTTTATTTGCAAGTATAAAAAAAATGATGTTAAAAATTCATAAAAATAATATATTTATTTATTATCATACCATTTAATTGTTTATTTAGTAAATGCAAATCCATGACAGTTATTGACGGAGGTGGTGTTATTCGCGGATTTGAATCGTCATCACTTAAGTTGTTTGCTGTAACTAATTGGAATTTAGTTTTCCTTTTTCTTTTCCTTCGGCCTAATTGCGAACATGACATATCTGATGTATCTGTTCGAGTTTTTTTATGTACAACATCTAGAGCTTCCTTGTATGAATCTGTAATTACAAATTATTTTATTAGTTGTCTATAGTATATACATACATTTGTATTACGTGGTTTATACTATAAGTCTTTTTCATAACCATAATCATAAATATTGGGAAGTTATGATTTGATATATTAATGTCGTGAATATTGACTGTACACAAATCATATGACAAATGTTGTGTTTGCTAAATATTAAATAATTTTGAGGAACAAGGTGAATTGAAAAATGGTTTTAATTCAATAAACTTTCTTCCTGTTAAAAAGATTTCTAAAGTCCTGATTTCTTTATAAATTCTTTTGATACAAAATACACAATTGTCTCTTAACATAACGCAACTATCTTTATCACATGTGCTTAGTTCAATGTTTGTGAAATTGCCGGCTTGCGGACCCCACGTGGGCTTGCGGGAAGGATGCTTCGCGAATAACGTGGTCGGAAATGCTGGGGTTTCCTTACTTTCTTTATTTATCTTCTCTCCCAACGTAACACAAGCAAGGTGTGGTTCGGATGACCAACAATTTACGCACAAGACCATAGATCCTTTGCTGTCTCTTTCACGACACTCAAACTCGTTCTGGCAGGCACGGCTATTTCGCCGGCGTGCTTGGTACGAAAGAAGGCGGAAGCACACGAATCGGTGGTTGCGCGCGGCAAACACCGTGACGTCTCTCCTGAAAATTGGCGCTTAGATTAAATCATAATAATGTATCGAACAAACGCCGCCCCCCTTGAAAGGACGATCTTTCAAAGTACAAAGTACCAAAGGAAAATGAGATACAATATGAACATAAACTAAACATGACTTGAAGATTAACTGAATAACACAACTTATAAATTATATGTGATTGACAAGGAGAACATGACTTATCAACTAAGAGAGCTTAACGGCAAAATAGAGATAAACTTAATTGCAAAGTTGGTTCGCTCGTAGCGCGGATTCTTAGCTAACCTGTGACTAATCTACAGGCAGTATTGCCAATTTCGACAACGGTCTCACAAACGCGCCCTTGCTCGTCTTGATTGCGGTCCTCACAATATTGTTCTCGCCGGGGTGCACCTGGACGCGTTCTATCGACCATTGCAGTGGCGCTAAGTTTTGTAGCTTCACGAGCACGACTTGATTAGGTTGCAGTTGAATGCCCTTGCTGATTTTCCACTTAGATCGCTCCTGTAGGGAATGAAGATATTCGTTGCTCCATCTGCGCCAGAAGTGCTGCCTGACTTGTTCGACTGTTTGCCATCGTAAAAGTCTATTTTCGTTGATATCGCTCACATCGGTGCAAGGGAAACTATTCAGGGCGGCGCCAACCAGAAAATGACCTGGGGTAAGATACGATAAATCGTCCGAATCAGCGCTTAGCGAAGTAATAGGACGCGAATTGAGGATTGCTTCGATTTCGCAAAGCACGGTTTGCAGCTCCTCGAAGGTTAAGTGGGCCTTACCGATAATGCGGGCCATATGATACTTCGCGGACTTGACCCCAGCCTCCCACAGACCGCCAAAGTGGGGGGCATGGGGCGGAATAAAACTCCAAGAAATCTGCTGATTGCATAGAGATTGTCGAATCTCGGACTGCGTCTGTACCTTGTTGTAAAACTCATATAACTCCTTCAACTGGTTTTGCGCACCGACGAAGGTGGTTCCGTTGTCGGAGTACATGTGAGAAGGCTTGTCTCTTTGTGAGATAAAACGTTTAAACGCAGTCAAAAACGTATCAGTAGTTAAGTCGCTCACAAGCTCAATATGGATCGCTTTGGTAGAGAAGCAGACAAAAATTGAGATGTAGGCCTTATGGTTTTTCGCGTTACGTCTTTTTCCTTCTCGTAGTATTACCGGGCCGGCGTAATCGACCCCGCAGTGCGAGAATGGTCGGGAAACGGTGACTCGACTTGTGGGAAGTGGTCCCATTATAGTCTCGGACGTACGCGGTTTAACTTTAAAACAAATTACGCATCCTTGAACAATCTTTCGGGTGCTTGAACGTAATGATAGAGGCCAGAATCTCTGTCTAATGGCCGCCATGGTGGCTTGAACGCCGGCGTGCAAGTTGCGTATGTGCTCATATTCTATCACGCGTCGCGTTAAGTTGTGCCTTGCCGGCAACAAAACCGGATGACGGGCATCGAATGGCAGACTTAAGTTTTTTAATCGGCCACCGACCCGGATCAACCCGAAACAATCAATGAACGGAGACAATGATAGTAAGCGACTTGTCGTGCTAATAGCTCTTCCCTCGCTTAGTGCCTTATATTCGGCAGGAAAAGCTCTACGTTGTACGGCTCTGCAAACAACATCGGTTGCGAATGATATTTCAGTGGGAGACACGAATTCTGTGTAAGCCTTCGTGCGGTGCTTCTTGGAGAATCTAAAACAATACGCCACGATACGGCATACCTTCGTCAGGCTGGAACATCTGCCTAGTAAGTCACTGACAACGCACTCGCTCAATGTGGCGATGGTTGTAATGATCATTCTTTGCTCGGGAACGTCATCTCCTAGTGACGCAAAGCTGCTCCGGGGCCAGCGATTTTCGCAAAATTGCAAGAATGGAGGCCCGTGCCACCACATTGTGTCGTGGACCAGCTCCTGTGGACTTGAGCCACGTGATAAAATGTCGGCGGAATTATCGGAGGAGGCGACATGATGCCAGTTGCAGATCTCGGTCAGACGATGGATTTCGCCAACCTTATTAGCTACGAACACTGACCATTTGCGGTTCAAGAAGGTTATCCAATTCAATGTGATAGTGGAGTCTGATCAGAGAAGGATCTGAACGCGTGCTTGATCTAACGCCTTAGCAATCTTATCGATCAGACGCGCCAATAACAATGCCGCTGACAGCTCAAGTCTTGGTAGGGATATGACCTTCAACGGAGCGACTCGAGATTTCGAGCAAAGCAACTCAGAACGGTATTGTTCCATTCCAACCCTTGTTCGGACATATACGCAGGCCCCATATGGGCGCTGACTGGCGTCACAGAATCCGTGTATTTGCACGTCCCTTGCATTCGAGCTAAATTTAACGTGTCGCGGAATCTGCAACTGGTTTAATGTGACCAATTGAGATTTGAGGCGGGTCCAGCGAGTATGAATGTCCTGAGGGACTGACTCGTCCCAGTGTATGCTCGATCGCCAAAGCTCTTGAAGAACGAGCTTTGCTATGACGATAATTGGACCCAACAGACCAAGTGGGTCAAATAGCCTAGATACTTCCGATATTATAGTGCGTTTTGAGATTACATCGTGCGTGCCGGTAGTATCGTAAGAAAAGCGAAACATATCCTTGGATTGACTCCACTGGATCCCGAGAACACGCGAGTTGGCGTCATTGTCAATAGTGACTAATTCTTTATCTCGGCTGTCTGTAATATCGAGCAGCTCAGGGCAATTCGACGCCCATTTGCTAAGCTTGAACGCGCCTAACCGCAGCAGCTGGATGATCTCGTTGCGAATTGACCTTGCTTCAGCAAGAGTGTCTGCCCCTGTGAGCAGATCGTCGACGTAGAAGTCGCGCTTAACGCGTGCAGAGCCAACGGGATATTGCGGTGAATGCTGATCAGCTAGATGTACGAGGCACCTAGTGGCTAAGTAAGAGGCCGAAGATGTGCCATATGTTACGATAGTCAGTTCGTAAGTATCTACGTCGTCCTTGAAGTCATCTCGCCATAGTATTCTCTGCAAACTGGTTTGAGAAGGATCTATTAATATTTGCCGGTACATCTTTATTACGTCGGCCGCGAAAACGTACCGAAATGTGCGAAAGCGAACCAGTATAAAGACTAAGTCCTGTTGCACAATGGGTCCCACCATTAATGCATCGTTTAGAGAATACCCAGTACCAGAGGGCTACCTTGAGACAGAGATCACTGCTGAGCAGTTGACTCTGTTGAGGGGTGCGGTCTCGAAGGAGATCGACGGGATCCAGGAGGGTCCGGTGCCTAGATTCCACGGCACCTCTCTAAGGAGTGGTGCGGCGGTGGTAAGATGCGCAGATGAGGCGTCGCTGGGTTGGCTCGTGGGGCGGATCGGCGGCATCATTCCGTGGGAGGGCGCCAGGCTCAAGGTGATGGGCATGGACGCACTTCAAAAGCAGCACAGGGCGGTGGTTTGGGTCCCGGGACCTCTCGAGGGCGCGGCCACGGTCCTGAAGCGGCTGGAGAAGCAGAACTCTTACATGATGCATCGAATACAACGCGAATCCTTGATGACTGATCAGTATTTTTAAAGACGCAATAGTGGGGCAGATAGAAAGATATGAGTTCTTCATCAAGCGGTGAGCTCACCAATCGCATGTGTCCTAGCGATCGATATTCGTCGATGAACTGTGTATAGCGTGATTTCAAGTTTGAATCGCGATTCAACCTTTTCTCGAGGCCTTTCAATCGTTTCAAGGCTACGCTTCTAGAGTCTCCGAGCTTCTTAAGCAATCCTTCCTTGATAGGAAGCTTGACTATATACCGTCCCTGCGAATTTCGCGAAACATTGTTAAGAAAGTGTTGCTCACAGAGCTTTTTCTGTATCGTGTAGGTATTTGACTCGTCAAGACCGTCATCTATCCGCCAAAAGCGAGTTAGCTGATCATGCAGCTGAGAATATGTTATAGAGGCGTAGAAAGAGTGCACCTTAGATGCGAACTCCACAGGTTTGTTTACTCGCCCCGCTAGAATCCACCCCAACCGCGTCTTTTGCAATATTGGATGATTAGATGAAGCCTTGATTTGTCCTATACACAATAAGTTCCAGAACAACTCGGCGCCAATTAGCAGATCGATGTCCGAGAACACGTGGAAATTTGGATTGACTAGTTTGATATTGTACGGAAAAGTGAATGCTCCACGTTTCAAAGTGTAAGCTGGAAGCTTGTCTGTCACTCTATCCGCAACAATGTATTCCACAGTGGCGGAATAAGGCCTTAGGCGCGATTGAAGTCTGACTTAAACAGCTTGTGCGGAAGTCGCAGCCGTGCCGCTTATGCCGGAAATAGCTACGCTGAGCGAACGATGCGTTAGACCGAGAACTGACAGAAAACGCTTGGAGATAAAGCTTGCTTGGAAACCGCAGTCTAGTAACGCTCGACACGAACTGCGAATGCCCTGGTTGTTGTACGTGAAAATCAAAGCCGTTGATAGCATGACATCGTTTCCGTTGATTAAGCCTGATGCGTTTGTCACTTGGACGATCGAAGAACCATCCGCCTTAGGTCCGTTGACCTTGCTTGCATTGCTACTCGATGATTCGGACGAGTTGCTTGATTGATGAAGCAACGTATTGTGCCTTGCTTGACAGACCTTACAGTTACCGGAAGAACACTGAGTCGGCTTGTGCGCTGACGACCGCAGGCAATTGGCGCAAATTTTGCGGTTGTGAATTTCCGATATCCTGCGAGAAATCGGAAGCGCTAGAAAGTCCTTAATATATAGTCCAATAATATATAGAGTGTTCGCCTTGGCAATAATTGCACTTGGTTTTGACTGTCGCGACGTTTGCCTGGCGCTTGAGATTGGATTGCGATCGTGAATTAGTGTTCTTTGAAGCCGCGTTTGATTTTCCCGTGTCTCCAAGCGTCTGGCATTGATGATTGACAAAATCAAAAAATTGTTTCAAAGTTTGGGCAGATCAGAGCCCTACCGCCTGATAACGAAGATCTCCACTTTCTCTGTGTAAACGTGTCGAGCTTGTTACTTAACACGTATATTAGCAACGCGTCCCAGTGATTGGTTGGAAGCTGCAAGGCCTGTAAAGCACGTGAATGTTTAGATGCACCATCCGCAATTTGGCGTAATTCCGTGAGGTTTTCCTTCGTCATCGATGGCAATTCCATTATGGCCTTTATGTGATTTTGCACGATAGCCCGCTTATTATCATAGCGTTCCTTGAGAAGAGTCCACGCGACGTCGTAGTTATTATCCGAAATTTCTAGAGAATTAACCACATCGAGCGCGGTGCCGGTAAGCGAAGATCTTAGGTACTGGAATTTCTGGCTGCGACTAAGAGATACGTTGAAATGTATCACGGAATTGAACGTATCGAGGAATGGGAACCACTCTTCGTATTTGCCCGAAAAGGTAGGTAGGTTCAATTTGGAAAGGCGCACGTGCGCCATTGCGTTGGTAATCTCGCGATCGTTTGTTGACGCCGGCGTAGCCGCCCCTTCTGCACACGAGGGCCCCCCAATGTTTCGCGAATTTTGGCGGACAAGGCATAGAAGGCTTCCTTGAAAGCAACGCGATCATTATCGTTTTCGTCAACTAATTCTATTTGAGATTGAACCCTATTGTACTCGGACCAATAATGATCCAATTTTAACCTGCGCTCTTTGAGCTGCGCTGTTATGGACGGATTGACATTAACTATTGACTCTACATAGGTTTTGATCCTAGTACACGATGCCTTGATCGTCGTGCGTTGTTTCTTAAAAATGGCAGCGTTTCCTTCGTCAGGCATTTTGATAACGCCGTTAATAAGATTTGCACAATGGAAAGTTCTGGTTGGCAACTACCGCGGAATAACCACCCTTATCTTGACTAAATGCGCATGCGACAATATCGGATGCCGTCTGAATAGCGCGAGTCGTCTTCCTATCGGTGGATATGCCTGAGTTGGTGGCGGGCCGCTTCCAGAGTCCCGACGTCAAAGAATTGACCTTGTTGATTCCTCGTCGCCGTCATGGCGTCTCCTCTGCGGTTGCTCCTGGTTGATTGAGGTTTTGTTCTGTTGAAAACGCTCTTGTTCTCGTGTTTGTGCAGCGAACCTCGAAAAATTGACCTTGAGGCAGGTGAGGTTACG